TATATATATAAATAACGGTTAATATATATAATATATATTATATATATAATATATTAATATATATTATATATTATTTTATATTATTAATATATCATATATTATATAATATAGTATATAATATATTATATAATATGATATATATATATAATAATGTATATATATAATTCAGGTATTAGTGGCAAAATAGTAATTTCTGTGAGTTTATGGCCAAAAAATGGAGAAAAAGCCGCACGCGCGTGAAGTGCACTTCCGTCAAGTTAGACGGTTTAGGGGATAACGCGCAATCAAAAGTATAATACAAGGGGGTATGGCGCAATTTTTAAAATACAGGGGGATAACGCGCAGATTTCGTATAATACAGGGGGGTTTGGCGCAATTTACCCGGAATTTATTTAGTATCGTGGTTTCATAATATGCTTATTTGTGGTTTATGAATGCAAACTTTCACTACAAAAAAAATTGGTATATTCCAACAGAAAATTCAACGGTAATATATTCCAATAGAAATTCCAACGTATATTTTAATGGTATAATTTTCGTTGGAATGGTTCCAACGGCAATTGCGACGAAAACATTCTGTTGAAATGAATTTTCTATTGGAATTTTACATGGAATTTGATGATTCAAACGACTATTTTCCAATATATTTTTCATCCATTGAAATATAAAATTTCCGTAGGAATTTTTATTTCCGTTGAAAAATCTACCGTTGGAATTGTCAAAATCCAACGGAAATTCTAATGAAAAAACGTATTCCAACGATATATTTTTGTTGGAATTTCAGTTAAAATCCATGACAACATATTTCCATTAAAATTGTCTATTGGAATTTCATCATTTTTTGTAGTATCATACAACTATTTTATTTTTTTGAATCTTTAAAACAAAATACTTACACCCAACCAAATAAAGTAAATAATAAAACACTATATTTAATTACAATTTATATGTTGTTTATTATCAGTATGTAAACAGTATATATATGCACAATGAGGCCAGTGAGAGCAACAAACAACGGGCCCACAAAACCAAACGGTCGTCAGATTCTAGATAACATAAGCCACCAAACACTTTCCGGCAGCAAGAGCAGCGTATGCTCCCAGAGATCCAAACTGCTCCAATGAACCAAAGCGCTTGAAGAATTCTCTTGTTCCCAGTAACATAAATGTGAGTGAAAGAGACAATGGTGTCAGCATCAACCTAATCGCCAGGTCCGCCACGTTATTCATAAACACATCGGGGATATTGGTAACCTTAATCCCCTTCTCCCTGTACATGGCTACGTCGATCTTGTCCAATCCACGTTAAAGCTCAAAATAATCTCTAATTCTGGTAGCGCGTCGATCAACTTGGTTGTGGTGCCCGCGTTGGAGTTACCCACCACAATGCGGAATGAGTATGCATGCTGAGCCACGACATCCGTCTACTTCGATTGAATCCAATACTGCAGGCGCCTGAATTACTTTTCAAGCTCTTACGCCAGGTAGTTGTTCATCGAGAACATTATCAGGACCCGAAAACCTCCATCTTCGCGATCGGGGGTGGCGGTGGTTGGGTGGTGATGGAGAAATTGAAGTGGAGTGAGCTAGTGGAAGTTAATTTGGTGGTTTGGGGAAGTTTGTGCGTGAGAGCTATATGTATCAGTTACCTATTTTTGTACTTTGATTTAGAAGAGAAATTATGAGATACTTATATTTATTATTTGAGTGGAGATGAGATAACTAATTGACATATGTGAAAATAAAAATCTTTTGTTGCCATAAAATTGTAACCGAAAAAATCATCTAGAAAAATTGAAAAAGTAAGGGGCTGATTATTTATGATTTCGACTAAAAAAAAAATCAATCAAAATTCATATGTAACTCAACGTTAACTCAATCCCACTATTTTCAATATTATCAATATAATTCAATAATATCAACCTATCATTCTTACACATCACATCAACTTTAGTTCACTCATATAATTTTAAATAATCATCACTTACAATCATTTTTCTCCTACTTTACATCAAATCAACTATAATTATTTTAATATATACATTAACAACTGACTATACCATACTTTTTCAAAATTTTGAAAAATAAATCAAATAAAACCTAGTCGAATCTATAAACAATGATCTCCTAAAATGTTAGAAAATACTATTTTAGGCATATGTCTAATTTAGCCTTACATACTCATTTTCCCAACACAGTATCCCACTCGACACTTGTTCAAAAATTTTATCTGTTATCTCTTCTGGTGGCGATGGCTTTAATCCCACGAAGAATGTCATCTACAGCTACAGCAGCTCTCGTCCTGTGGTTTTTACTCTTGTCTTCTTCGCTGACCCTCTCCATCGATGCTACTTCTAACTTCTCCTTAGGTAAAAGCTTTCTTGATCTTTAGGGTTCTTATTATTCCATTTCAGGAGTTAAAAACGTCAAATTCACAGCTCTGAACAGAAATTGCTATGTCTGAAGTGTAGACATTTCGTTTACAGGCGTCCAGGTAAATGGACCGCATGATATCGTGCTAATTTACGCGATGCAGTTTCGTCGTCTGGTGCTTTCGAGTTTTGGGGTTTTGATCTCAATTTTAGTAACAAGTTCCGATTTATGGGATTTTGTATTTCGAACTTTGGTGTGTCTGTTTAGCAGGGATTGATTCTGCAGCATTTGGATTCTTGTGTCCTTTTACGATTGAGCCCACGACCTTGATATGCTACATGAAGCTAATATTAAGTGAATGAATAATCTTAATGTAATTCACCAGTTTGCATATGTCTTTAAATTGACTAGTTTCGGGTCTATAACTCCTGCCACGTGAACGGATTTCATTCTGTCGGCTACATTAAACGGGAAAGCTGAATATCATTGAATGAAGCTGAATTGACCGAATGCAGATTTGGAAGCATACACCTTATGTAGTTATGTTCATAGTTCATTATGATTGATAAAGAGTAATGGAGTTATTACTTATTGCATGAATCAATAAAATCTTTATGCTGATCTCTTTTCTTTTGTAGTTATTTCGGAGACCATGAAGTTGCATATCTCGCCGAGCTTAATAGTAGAGAATTCTCCAGGTTTGAAGCCTGGAGCTAAAGTAAAATGTGAGAGAGTTCCAGTTCATGGTTTACCAAGGATTAAGCATTTGAGAAAGTTTGCCAATTCCTTGAAGGTGAAAGTGTCATGTACGAATCCAAGTGCCCCTTCTCCACGTATAGATGTCTGTTTCCACAGGTGAGTTGATATTCCCTAACTAAATTAGTAAATTTCATGATTCATATGACCTAGTATGCAATTTGTTATTGTTTTTTAGTGTTTGACCTTACTTGTGAATCCTTTCATAGTACTTGTGATTGCTTGGTACATTTTTCACATTGTCTTACCTCAATTGTGAGTTTTCTGTCCATTTCTGCTTGAAACCTTATTGTAGCAAGTTGTTTGATAAATGTACTATGCATGCTAGTACGCTATCCGCAAAAGTTTAGTGCTCATGATTTATTCTCTGTTGATTTGATTTTAATTCTACACTTTATGTGATTGAGGGTAAAAGTTGATTGAGGGTATATCTCTATTCTGGATTATCCACTGCGATCAAATGGACTTTATTTTTCTTTCAATAAAATGCTATTATTCTTTGTATTGGATACATATCTTCATCTCATTATAGAGTGGTTTCCTCATCTCTTATTCCGAATTACATAAAAATAACACATATTGAAAAAAATATTGAAGTAGTACTTTGATTGACTAAACTATATCATTTTATTGGTAATGTTGATTTGTTCTCTGATGCTGTTGTTATTATCGTTCTTCTTATGTGCTTATGCGTATATTTGTTTGAAAACATTCACTGGTTTAGGGGGTGCTTGGTAAGGGGGTTTTGGAGAGGGCCCTGTAATGTTTAATAGAGAAGGTTGGTCTATAAAGGTTTTGGTTGTAGGGTTTTGGTTTTGACTTTTAATGTAGGGTTTTGGTTTTGACTTTTGATGTAGGGTTTTGCTTTTGACTTTTGATGTGGGGTTTTGGTTTTGACATGCTGAAATAGAATGGTCCATGTACCCCAATCTGAGGGGTTTGATTGGTGGACCTTGTTTTACCTTTTACGTGTCATAAGCTAGCTCTTTTGTGGTGACAATGTTTGTGATTCCTTATTACTTACGAACCACCAAAACAATAATCAATACTTTAATTACCTTTCTGTACTATTATACCAAGTGTATCCTTAAGTTACATATTGATAGTTAATAGGTTTACTGTTCAGGAATGCATCTCTTGGTGTGGGGATGTGCCCTCAAGATCACTGGGAAAGGCTTTCAAAAGGATTGTGGATGAAACCAATGTCACCTTTTGATCACAAAATCTTAGACATAAGGGTAGGAACATCTTATTCAGAGAGTCTTGAGGTGTCATTTGATGAAGGTTTGTTCTGCATGACAGCTTTTTGTAATGCTGCACCTACCATATTGTACTTTTTTTTTTCCTCCTGTCCTTTCGCATATATTGTTACGTTATCGTATGTAGCTTTTTGCAGAATTCTTTTTGTACAGGATATTATTCCTAGTTTTTGGAATTGTGTTGATGAGTCTGGCTCCCTGGCTTAGCCAATCTTTGGTTTTCTACTACAGTGGTGCTATGGTTATAGGGATCTTTCTTGTGATATTAATGATCCTTTTCCAGGTCAGAACATGAATATGTTTTTTTTCTTCTGTCTTTTCTATGTATGTCATTGTCATATCATACATCTCTATCAGACATGGTTAACAAGGCTGGCCCATCTAGAAATATTACCCTAGATAATTATAGTAGAAATAGAATTTATCATCAATGGACTTCTGACGTATACGAAGTAGTGCAGTATGAAATAATTGTTTTTTTTTTCCTTTAAAGACAGCATACTTATTGGTCCATTTCATGCCTTTCATGAGCCCAGAGATTCTATTATGTAGAATTGTAGATGCATGACTACAAAATGATGATTATTGCAATCTGCAGTACAGTGCATTGCATGCTCTCGACAGACATTTACATTTTCTTGTATTAGCCACTAATTTCCTTTCATGGTTGTTGTATCACAGGGGATGAAGCTTCTTCCAACTGGTCGGAAGAGTTCACTTGGAATATTTCTGTATTCATGCTTTGTACGTGCAATTATAATGAACCCATATTTATCCTTGTGTATAATGGTTTTCCATGGTAATATATATTGGTCCATTTCTTATCAGATTGGCTTGGGATCTTTTCTGCTTCAATATGTGCCCAAATTATTACGGGCACTGATGGCCGAGATCGGACTTCCCGAAGACATGCACGATTCTGTAAGTAAGTTTCTCAAAGCTATTTCTCTATGTTTCGTCAGGAATCACATCAATGCATAAAATGTTCGATGAAGTGACAGAAGTTTCTCATTTCTTTTATTTGCCGTTAAGAGGTGGCATCAGAACATATAGTCATATATTGGTGCAAATTTGCTGCTAAATCTCATTGCAGGCTCACTTTTTAGTTATATATTATACCTATGTTGTAAAATTTCTTACAAGTTCAACTCTTGTTGAGTATTATTTGATGAAATCTATGAGTCGATAGTTAACTTGGTTTCACGTTCCGAAATGGAATAATAATAAACTTCTACATGTAGTTAGAATTGCACAATCAGGTTTATTGCTTTAAATTTTTATTTTGCCCAAATTTATATCTACTATGTAGAAGTTAATTACAAACTGGAAGTAACTATTTGTCTCTCCTGCACTTCCAACTTCGAAGTTGAGTGTCAATAATTCAATTTTGCTTCCATATGTGTGTCGACTTTTTTGCATATCGGTATTTTCACAACAGTGCTAGCACATGCTTGTTATGTGATGTAGCTGGCCATTCTTCTGCTGGTTTTCCTTGTAATTACTGGAGCTTGCTTGGGATTTTGGGTCGTCCGTAAACTTGTGCTCACAGCAGATGGATCTATTGACTTTGGAGTATCTCAATTTGTCACCTGGTCACTTCGAATAGTTGCCTCCGTGATGATTCTTCAGGTTTTGCGTCTTTGTAATTATAAAATAATGGCACCTTACCTGAATGTCTTAAATGTTCTCGTTTTTCTGGGAAGTAATGAAATGATTATATTGTTATCCAGAGTTCATTAGATCCTTTATTGGCGGTTGGTGCTTGGGTTGGTGGAATTGTTATATCTTTGTTGTTGATGTCTCCTCGCCCTAAGGTTGTTCGGCGTGTCTGCAGGTGAGTCTATGATGCTTCTCTTTATCAAAAAATTCAGCAGGGGCCCCCATTTTTATTGTTTAATACCTATTTATTTATGGATTTTGTCATTCAAGCTCCAAAAAAAGGGCAAATAAAATTAACATAACATAATAAAATGAAAAATTCAGTGTGCAGACTTTGATTTTGTTTGTCAACTAGGAATTCTTATCATCAATTGGGAACATACTATTAGCCTCGAGTCGAGAATCTAGAACATGATTTATTTCGACAGAGAATTAACAGCAAAATTTGATGCGGCATAAAAATATAAACTTGAGCTTCAATTGATATTTTAAAAAGAATCGGGCCTCAGATTGGAACAAAAACTAATACATGGTACCCTGTATGCATTCCTTGTATTTGTATGGTACCTGTATTGTGTGCTCCCTTTGTCCACTTTGGAAGTGTCTTTTCTTCATTTCCCTCCCAACAATGTAAAATTTGGAACTCTCTTTTCCATTTACTGTTTCTCTCTTACCAACTTTGTTGGAATTTTTTTAAAAAAATAAAAAATGCAGAAAATTGCGTAGGCTGAAAAGGCTCAATCTCAAGGAGCCTCTTGATCCCTATGCATCTCCGGTCACCAACCCTTCTATTCCCAGGCCCCCTGCCAGGTCTCCATATACTTCCGTTCCAGGTTGACTTTCCTTTAAAATTAAACATGTCCTGAACGTAAATAACTCCAATTTACATTTTATTGATATTGAAGTAGTACATCATCCTTTATCAGGTTCACGAAGTAAGTCACCTGAAAGGTTTTCAGATTCTCAGACTTTCTACTCCACCTTCCACGACACGCCCGACCGAAGGAAATTTGCAAAGGCTGAATGGAAATCGTTCACGAGGGAGTCCACACGCAAAGCCCTAGAAGGGCTTGTTTCGTCACCAGATTTCAGCAAATGGGCTGTGGCCCATGCAGACAGGATAACCTTAGCCCCAACGAATGAAAGTTCAGCGCAACATAGGAGATGGTTCCACTGGTTTTAAAGATGAAAGCACTTTTGCCTGGAATCCCCTCATTTCACATGTTAACCCCCATTGACATTGTACTCTATCAACTCGACTCTTGGCTGACCATTTATGATGTACAACTGATTAGCATTTGATGATATATGCTGCATTCGGACATGGTTGCTCGGCAGATATATGAATATTGTCCAAGTTTCTTTCGAGCATGTAGCTGGTAAATAGCATCCAGGGATTTATGTTGTTGTTATCAGATATTAGTAGATGGTTCGTTTGTTTCCTGTTCTGTGAGACTATTTTTTAATTTTTTTTTTTAATTTTTTTTCCACTATTAACTCGTTGAAGAAAAAAAAAAAAAAAAATGAATCACCATTTGACCAATCCTGTTCCTTCTGTGGTATTTATTTTTGAATGGCCACTTGTCAAAAATTTTGATCCTTGCCATGTTCTCGTCCTTGTCCTATGTATATACTGCCCCACCACCTACATATTCTATCATAACACAAAATAAACACAAACTCTTTTCTAAATTGAACTCCAATTTCTCCATCACTGTTAAAATAAGAAAAAAACTTGAAACATGGCAGAATCAAGAAGTGCACTGTCTCAACAATTGCCACGGCCACTGAGACAGGAAGGCGGCAAAATCAAGGGATCGTGTCTAACGGGAAAGGTTGAATTTCGTCATGATCAGATGGTTCGTCGCAGGTCGGGCTCCCGCATGAGGTGCTCCGTCGATGGTGGTAGTGCGTTGGGTGGTTGTACCTTGGTGGCGGCTATGAGGGAGGCTCAGCCGTACTTGGCCGCGCACAGGGGAAGCACATTGGTGGTGGTGCTGTCCAGTGAAATCGTCGATGGGCCCCACTTGACCTCCATCCTCGAGGTTTGATTTCGCCTTTGGAAAACTTCATTTGAATTTTGTTTCTGTTTGCTAAGCTATGACTCATTGTTTAAGGTGACATTTTATCTTTTTTTCTTTATCTTTATTTTTTTCATTTTTTTTAGGGTATTACTATTTACCGCCTCCTTTTACTATTCACTGCCCCCTAATTACGTTTTTGCCCTTATGATTATCTCTCTACTTTCTCTCTATTCTTTCCCTCTCGACTTTTCACGGCTCTTTTGACCGTAAAAAAAATGTCGAAAAAATCCGAAAAAAATACCATGACATCGGCAAGACATTGAAGATTGACTATGTATCTTTTTTATATTTTTTCACTTTGGAATATTTTTTAATTTTTTTTTTTAATTTTTTTTTCGTGTCCGGCCGGACGGACCGGACACACCAATGGATGTCCGGCCGGACGGACCGAACAAGTAATATAGCGTCCGGCCGAACCCGCCGGACACCAATGTGTGCGTCCGGTCCGTCCGGCCGGACACCCATTGGTGTGTCCAGTCCGTCCGGCCGGACGCGAAAAAAAAAATAAAAAAAAAAATTAAAAAATTATTTATAAAGTGAAAAAATATTAAAAAAATACATAGTCAATCTTTAATGTCTTGCCGATGTCATGGTATTTTTTTTGAATTTTTTTGACATTTTTTTTACGGTCAAAAGAGCCGTGAAAAGTCGAGAGGGAAAGAGTAGAGAGAGAAAATAGAGAGATAGTCATATAGGCAAAAACGTAATTGAGGGGCGGTGATTAGTAAAAGGGGCGGTAAATAGCAATTCATTTTTTTTTTATTTAAATTCCCTCAAAATGAAAAGTTTTACATGGGTAATTTGTTACAGAGGAGTTTGTTTATACTGCTATATATATAATTTAAGAATGCGTTAGGTGGCACTCGCACGGTTCTGAATTTTATGTGGTAAATTTTCATGCTTTGTAGGGGTGCACAAAATTTGGTTAACCGACCGAAACTGCAAAATTTCAGTTTGAACCGAATCCGAAACCGAATTATTGGTTCGGTTTTCGGTTTGCCTTTTTCTGAAATTTCAGTTTTCGGTTCGGTTTGGATATAAATGTTCGGTTAACCGAATCGAACCAAAAACTGATACTATATATATAATTATAAAAGCCATATATTATCTAAGTCCATGTTTTTAATTTTTAAGCCCATTATATTAATAAGTGTTGAAGCCCAACCAATAAATTACCAATTATTATTAGTCATTCTTATTTTCTCCTCATCCGCCACGATTCATCATCTGCATTCTTCAGACTGAATTCTAAGCCACAGACAAAATCTAAACCACCGATCCTAAGTCCTAAGCAAAAAATCAAAAACTAGTGAACCCTAACATCAACTCAGCCTAACGCAATTTTGCATTCGAAAATCTCCGATCGCCGCTCTCGGTAATCTGAAGCCCCAAATCACCGCCGCGCCCACTCTCGCTCACACTCCACTCGACACTCGACAAAGCTCGTCTTCTTAAATAAGTTTATCAGCTAAATTCCCTCCTACGACTTGCACTCTATTGAATCAATTCATTCTCTCAAGGGTGAAATCGCTTTTCTCTCTTTCGTCTTTTATCTCTTGATTTTTTTTTTCTGTTAATTAGGGCTGCGAATTGTTGAAATTAGAGTTGCGATTAGCTAAAATTTTGCTGAAATTGTCACTATTGAATATTTTTTTTTTTCATTTCTCCCTTTTATCGGATAACCGATAATCGAACCGGTCCAACCAATAAATTTTCGGTTAAAAACCGAAACGAACCATAAATTTCAGTTCGGTTTTCGGTTTGAAGGTTGGGTTAACCGAAATTTCGGTCGGTTCGGTTCGGTTTTGACCGATTGAACAACCCCAGTTTGTCATTTTGTTTGGGTTGATTTTTTTTTTTTTTCATAATATTGGATATTTATGAACATCTTTAAGTGCATTAATTATGTTTTATTGTTATTTTCTATTCTACATGCAGTTTATAAAGCCTAATTTTTTTCTTCAAATTTTTCTTTTTTCTTCACCTTCTTTTTATAATCATAAAAAATAAACTAAAATAAATTATAAATATATTTAAAAGCTAATAACTTCTTTATTTATTATCAATTATCAATCTTCCATATACAATATATCCCATTAATTATGTCTTGATGGGATTCGATTTGGCATTTGTAGTGTGCATAAACATAAATAAATAAATTTATCTTTGTTATAAATTTACATTATATATTAATATTAATTGAAAAAAATTATTTAAATTAATTTAACTACAAATTAGTCATATGCTATAAGTTAAAATATTATTATAATATAAAATGTCAAGTCGTATAAGTGACGAATGCTATTTTAAATATAAATAAAAATATAGTTTTGTTTTAAATAATTAGTTTTAATTTTACATATAAATTTCTTAGCAAACACTTGTATAATACCTTAGTATTGTACTAGTTATACTAGTATTCATCATGTGCACATGCACAAAGAAAAATAAAAATTTATATATCATATATATGTATACAATATATAACATTTTATATTAGATAATTGATGTATTACATTTTAAATTTTGACTATATACAAATGTGTATGTAAATATCAATTGTTTAACTTACTTATGAATCTTTATATCGATGCCATAAATTTTAATGGATAATATAATTTAGTAATTTAGAGGGACCATACAATTAATTAGTTACAAAAGTATTACAATTATTTTATCATTGTTATAGCAATTGTTTATGTGATTTTAAGGTGTTTAATTATGACCCATACAAATTAACTAATATAATATAAAATAGCTTAAAAAGAAAAAAAAAAAAAAAAAAAATTTAGAAAAAATATTTTACAGAAAAAAATTGCAATACAATTTTTTATAAGTATGTAACTTCCACATACTATTTAATGTAAAGTTATAATCAATTAGGAGAAATGTTTCCCAACCCACGGTGGGCACATGTTAATATGCCCACCGTTTATGTGACATATACACATTGGTGAAAAAATATTGCATGCCATATAAACGGATGCATATTAACATGTGTCCACCGTGGGTAGGAGAGCATTACTCAATCAACTAGTGTTAATAGTGATATTATAAATAAATTAGTTTAAAATTACTATTACACTTTATTAATGTAAAATGTAACGTTTCTACATTAATTGAAAAAATGAGCGAGAAAATGAATAGAGTTTTATTAATTAGGTTTTATTAAATGTTATATGCCAGTAATTATATACTAGTACAACACCCGTGTATTACACGGGTGCTTGCTAAATTTTTTTTCTTAAAATCTAAAATTAATGAAAAAAGTAGTTTGAAAATTTAAATACATTTTATAAGAATATATATATATTATTATATATTTATTATGACACTTTTTATTTGTGCAACTTACTTGTGTTATATTTTACTATTTTTTTTAACTTACAATATATAACTACATTACATATAAATATATCAATTGAGAAATAATTTTATTTTCCTAATGAATTTTAATAAATATTATTTTTTTTTTTTTATTATAAAGATAAATATAATTTATTTATTTCATATATACAATATGGATGTCAAATCGAAGATCATCAAAAGATGATTAATTTGATATATTATATATATAAAACCGATAAGAAATACAAAAGTTATCAACTTTTAAAATACATTTATAATTCAATAGCTTATTGAAGGAAACAAATCAAAATTCAGGGATATATTAGTCACTTAGTGCCTCACTATGTAAAATTACAAAGAATTAAAGGGTTATATTAGTAAAAGTGATATTAAAATACCTAAGTTAGCTAAACAATATTTATGGAATACCCGAACCTAGATTATTAATTATTAATATATCAATATTATTTATCCAAACCTAATTACGAAGCATGATTCTTCGCCAAATAGGATTCCGAAGCACCAGAAGCAGCCATGTAGGCTCAACGCATTCGAGAATTATATATAGGGAGGATATAGATTTCATGTGCATGTATAATACCCTAGTATTGTACTAGTTATATTTCTTTCGTTTTGTTTTCTTTGATGTCTTTTGCATTGCATATGTTTATATAGTATATATATATATAGGGGCCAACTATAGTCTCGTGGGAAATAATTCTCTCATTTCAATATAAGCAATTAGATCTTTTAGTTTGATATGAATCCTTAGATAGTTAGATGTAGTCAATAAATGCTAACGTGACATTTTCTTATTGAAGTTTTATTCAGAAAAATTATTCTGGTGAAAGAAAACTCTAAGCACGGAAAACTCTAAGCAAAGAACTAATCACGTGTAAGAAAAAAAAAAAAAGGAAATTCAGTGTATGTAATTGAGATTTCTAAAGACTTTTGAAGACTTTAAAATTCATGTGTATTCACTTTAGACTTCTGAAGACTTTTAAAAGTCTTGGGATATTCAGTTGAGATTTTAAATGTCTTATACTATATTGAGGTATTTAACTTATTTTAGACTTGGATTTATTAAGACTTTTTAAGATTCGTTAAGATTTCTAAAAAAAAAAAACCTTACACAAAATTCTACTCAAAATCCAACCTCCAATCTTAAGATTTATTTGGAACTTTTGAGATAACTAATCTTTTCTTGTTGTTGGCTTGTTTTACTTTGTGCTGTTATAATTTTAATTTTATATTTTGCTAATCTCTTGGTTAAAGTTTGTAATCCTAAAGAAGGTGTACATTGTACTTAGTTTAGTTTGGTGTTAGTACAATTTTCTCTCTCAAAAAGAAAACACTAAGCACATAACTAATCACGTGTAAGAAAAAAATGAGAATCAATGTATTTAATTGAGATTTTTAAAGACTATAAATCCTGATGCATTCAATTTAAATTTCTTAAGACTTTTAAGGCTTTTACAAGTCTTGGAGTATTAAACTGAGATTTTAAAAAGTCTTACGAAATCCTGAAGTATTTACTTATTTTAGATTATGATTTGTTAAGACTTTTTAAGATTCAGTTTAGATTTTTACAGAAAAAATAAATCCTACTCAAAATCTCACATCCAAATTTATAATTTCACGAGATTTTTCATAATCTATAAATCTTAAAAAGTATCAAAATCTCAAAAAATAATTCAAAATTCAATACATCCAAAAAATACAAAATATGAATCACATACATCAAAAAATGCACCAAGATCAACCATCAACGGTAGAAGATCTATTTTCCTAAGTATATATATATATATATATATATACCACATTCAGATTGATTGAAAGTAATGATTGAAATTGGTGGGAATCACGGTAGATTCGATCCTACCTCATGGGTAGTGCCCCATGGGGTTTTAGCCACACAATCACACACACACCCACATGAGTGTGTGTGAAACATGTGGCTAAAAACCCCATGGGTGTACTACCCCATGGGGTAGGATCGAATTTTCCGGGAATCACAAGCTGCACAACACCCTTTTCAGACAACTGATTCAGTGTGGGCCCAACTCCGAATCTAAATACATATATGTATATATATATATATATAATTGCTAGCAAAGCAATTAATAAAACTCTTTTTGTTTTTTCTCGCCTTTTTCCCGTTACTTTTGCATTAATCAGTATTATATTTGTTTTACTTATTTTATTATATTTTATTATATAACTAGTATTCATCCTGTGCACATGCACAAAGAAAAATAAAAAATTATAGTATATTATATGTATGTATACAATATATAAAAATTTTATATTAGATAATTGATGTATTACATTTTAAATTTTCACTACATGCAAATGTGTAATGTAAATATAATTTGTTTAACTTACGTATGAATCTTTATATTGATGCAATAAATTTTAATGGCTAATATAATTTAGTAATTTAGATGGACCATACAATTAATTAGTTAGAAAAGTATTACAATTATTTTTATCATTGTTATAGCATTTGTTTATGTGATTTTAAGGTGTTTAATTATGACACTCATGCCAATTAACTAACATTAGATAAAAATTGCTTAAAAAGATCAAAAATATTTTATTTTAGAAAAAGTATTTTAAAGAAAAAAATTACAATACAATTTTTTATAAGTATGTAACTTCCACATACTATTTAATGTAAAGTTGTAATCAATTAGTATTAGTAGTGAATAAATTAGATTATATATTATTACACTTTATTAATGTAAAATGTAACTGTTGTACATTAATTGAAAAAATAAACGGGAAAATGAATAGGGGTTTTATTAATTAGGTTTTATTAAATGTTATATCTATTCTAAATATTTTCTAAACTATATATTTAAAATTGTTATTTTTTTGTTTTCTTTCACCTCATTAAGCAAGTGTCTTTAATTACAATTAATTGATTATCTTTTATGGCATAACCAAACTTTTCAATGATTTGTACATAAATACTATAATAATAATTTCAATATTTTTTGATCCAATTAATTATCATAATCGATTTACAAAAAAAAAAAAAAA